ACACTGGGCTCTTACGGAAATTTGAGCTCCCATTGGACACTGTGTATCCATGGTAACTATTCTAATATGTAGAGGGGACAAATGTGAAGAAAGTGTGGTGTAGTGGTTAAGGTGTTAGGTGAATGATGGGGAGACCCAGGTTCTAACCCACCTTCAGCCACCAAAGCTCACTGGATGGCCTTGGGCCAGTCGCTTTCTCTCAGCCCAACTCCCTCACAGGGTTGCTGTTGTGGAGACAAATAGGAGGAGGGAGCACTGTGTATGCTGCTTTGAGCTCTTGTACAAAACAAAACAGACAAAAAGTTTGCTGCTAGGGTACCTTTTTAGCTACCAGGGAAACATGAACAAAAAATGTCTTCTGGACTGTTTAGAGCATCTTAAAGAGAACAATACAACTACATGCAATTTTTTAAATACACTGAATACTGGCATTAAGCCCGTGGATTTTCACCTTGCTTCTCCCTGCTAGAAAAGAGGAAAGCTTTTAAATGGAGCCTGGATGCAGCTGGTGAATGGGCTGGGCAATAATTCCTATGCTTTTGTTCCTTCTCAAAGCTTCCTCCAGTGTCAGCATCACCGATTAAACACATTTAAACTCTGGTTAGATGTACCACCTTTCTTTCTGACAGGTGCCTTAACTGTGGCCATTCTGAGAATTTTGGGAGCTGATACATTGGGAGGGGCTCCAGGTTGGAGAAGCTGCTTTCCTTGGAAAGACTGTAGATAACATCTGCTGGGATATTTTGGTAGCTTGGGAAAAAATGGTCCTGACGCAGCTGTCGATAGGAGAGGGAAATACACATGGGTATGATATGGTGGTACATAGTATAGTGACCCATACAGTTGTGGTTGGGACTCAGAATTTGCTTTTTATGTGTTTTGAGTCCATCCATCCTTCCATCCCTTTCCTTTGGCCTCCATGTTATTTAGTTTGCTTTGTTTTAGGAACACTGAGGTCAGGCATATACATTTTATGGCATGAAAAGCTACAACAAAAGGAGACGCAGTCAGTGTTGATGGTTCTGTGTTTTTACCACTTGCTTGGCCCCACATTGTGCTACGGGAGTTGGAGAAAAGGGTTACTCTTGGCCATCTCTGTAGATTTCTCCAGCACATACCCCCTGCCTGTGCCTCAAGCTAGGAGTGGCTGCTCTTTTGCAGCACCAGCAGGGAGGAAAGGTCTGATCTGCAGGCAGCTGCTCTCATTAAAGAGAGAAGGCCTGAGATTTGGGAGCCCTGCAAAATGGACTTTGGGAGCAGTTCTTTCCCGTGACATTATCCCTGAAGCCCAGGATAGGAACTGGCTGATTTCTCCAGTGGTTTTGCTCTTGGCCTCTGCGGTCCTATACCGGAAGGAGTGCGTTTTGCCAGGTCCTTTTTAATAGGACAGAGGATGTTTGTTCTTTCAGTGCCTCCGGAAGATAGCTAAGATACTGATTTCCATACTGGCTTATTCCTTCTACACCAGTGAGATCTGGCAGGGCAGGTCTTTGGGCTTTCGAGTGAAGTCTTGTCTGGGAAGGCCTTACCCTGGGCGCAAAGAGGCAGCTGCATGCTGAAAGTTACAAAAAGTAGAAAAAAATGCTTGTTTCTCTTGCCTGGCACCTTCAGAAGCATTATCTTGTCCTGATCGCTGCCAGAAGACCTTTCTGAAATTCTACTAGCTAACCCAGCAACTTGAAGTTGCGTGGACTTCAACTCCCAGAATTCCCTGATTGGGGAATTCTGGAGGTTGAAGTCCACACAATTTAAAGTTGCTGAGGTTGAGGAACACTGAGCTAACCTCTTAACCAAGCATGGCAGAAATTGCATTAGAACTCTCTACTTCAAGAGGGGTAGTAATGGTTTTCCCCATTATAATTTGGATGGTCAAATCCTATGAAAAGTTCCTTGTCACACCTGGTTGCAAATCTTTTCAGTGTTGGCATTTCCCAAGCGTACCCAAGGGAAACACAATTAAAAATGTTAGAGTTTCAATAAACAGTATGCCCATTTGATGACTTATTCTGCATCTGAAGTCAGGTTTGGTTCTTAGGACCCCTATATTTGGGATAAACAACAAAACAGCCATGGTGTGGGTTTCTATTGGGGAGATGACTGTGAAATCCCTTCTTGGCTGTGATAATTCACTGTCATCTTGGGCTAGTCCATTTCTCTCACTTCTAGTCTCCTACGTAAGGAGTGAGGATAGTAGTGACTTGCCTCACACTCAAAGGGCTCTATTGAACAGGAGTACGGTAAGGTTTGTATATTTTACACAATCTGCAAAAAAATAGTGTATGATCACATAATGAAAGAAATGAATGATTTCATGTGGAAGAATTATGTGGCAGCTCTTATTAGGAGAGAGGCTTCCAGATTAGATAAAGTGTAAAGGTGAGAAAGCTGGATCTTTGTCTCTGGTATCTGAGTGCTGCTGCAGCAAACAGAGGAAGCTGGTTGTTAAGATGATTCTCAAATGTTGGCAAGTTCATGGAGGTATGATACTGATTAACAGCTGTCATTTGATTCTGGGTCTTTGACAAGATGATGATGGGTCTTTGACAGATGGACAAATCTGGCCTGGATATGATTAGCACTTCTTTTAGGACCAATAGAAGAGAATATATGTAGCTCGGGGTTGAACTGTGGAGTGCTTGGTGCTCTCTGAGCTAGGTTGTTTGCTTGTGTGTTTCCAGAAAATCAAAGTGCCTCCAGAAGATACAGTGCCTCCAGAAAATCAAAGACCTAAAAATAAAAGAAGATGAAATTATGGTTGCATTCGATGTCACAGTGCTCTTTATGTCCATAGATCCATAACTAGTGAAAGAATCTAATACAGCAGTACTACACAACAAAGGTGACCTAGCCAAATACACTAAGATTGATGAGGTCCATGATTCTGGGTATTTCAATCTCTGTCTTGCTACTTACTTTCAGTTTGATGGACAAATATACCAACAAATCAGAAGAACATCCATAGGATCACCACTCTCAGGACTCATGGCAGAGACTGTAACGCAGCGTCTAGAAACTATAGTACTCCAATACATACAACCAAAACATGGATCTGGTATGTAAATGACACCTTTGTCATAATAAAAAAGGAACAACTAGAGAAGACCCATGAAACAATCAACAACATATGCAAAGGAATAAAATTCACAAGGGAAGAAGAAAACAACAACACACTATCCTTCCTGGATATCCTTATCAGCAGAGAAAACAATGGCAAATTATAAATACAAGTCTATCGAAAAACAACCCACACTAACCAAGTGTTCCATTACCAAGTAACAACCCATCCTCCCACAAGAGGAGCTGTGTAAGAAAATTATTCAGATGAGTAAAAATGCACTGCAGCAAACCAGAAAAAGGAAACAGATTGCCTATACAACATCTTCTAACAAAATGGTTATCCACACAGCTTTATCAAAAAGTGCCTGACCACTCAACCCACTACAGCACAACCAACACAAGCTGTGAAAAGGATACCACTACCATACAAAAACATCTCAGAAACAACCAACAGACTATTACAACCACATAGCATCACTATACGATGCTATGTATAGCACACGAACCAACTAAAGCCCTCCAAAACATCTTAACTAAACCAAAAGACCCATTAGCCCAAGAATTAAAAACAGGAATCATCTACAACATACAGCATAAGGACTGTAACAGCCACTATGTAGGACGGACAGGCAGAAGACTAGCAGAGGGCACCCATGAACACCAACTAGCAATCAGGAGACACAAAGAACACTTCTTAATCTCACAAGACATGGACAGACTCAATCATAGTTTCAATTGGGAAACTGTGAGCATCTTAGGCCAAGCTAAATCCAAAAACACTAGGGAATTCTTGGAAGCTTAGCATTCAGACAAGTCAGCCATCAATAGACACATAGAGATAACCACATTTATACACCATTCAAAAGAGATAGTAAAGAAGCTAAGAAGTAAACAAAAAGACCAGAAAAAAATCCTCTCCAGCGGCTTATACCCAGATAACCAGGGATTAACACCAGACAAACAAGCAGAAAACAATACCCTAATCAAGGAACTACCAAAGAGAAAACCACACCCCCACCAACACTGGCAGGGGAAGCCTCAGTCTTTAAAAAAGGAGCAAACCCCACACCCACGAAGACCTGATGATGTTACTGAGTTGGATAATGAAATGTCTGCAAGCAAACAGCCAAGCTCAGAGAGCACCGAGGACTCCACTTCTTTTAGGAAGTTATTTCTTACTTTTAACATGGGCTCTGTCAGTATCAGGCAAATTTGTCATGGGCTGCTGCATTGAGCAATACGAAGCCAGAAATGAAAATAAAACCAAGCATGCTTCACATAGATTTTCATATTTGTTTTAATATGTAAGTTGTTTTAGGAGGTAGCTGTTTGTTACTAGATACAGCTACCTCCTAAACATCTTGCATACTAAAATTGTCATTACTTAACTCTATCAGACCTGGGATCGGTATGAGTTCTAACAGTATATTTTTCAGTGCATGAAGATAGGAATAGCTTTTGGAAACCATTCACAAATAACAAGCTTGTTTCCTCTTTTAAGGAGAAGGAGATAGAAGGAGTAAATGCTGGACTTTTCTATATGCATCATGGATTGCTCTAACACCTTGGTTCAAATAGCTAGCAGTTCTGAACTGATTTCTGAAGGCTAAGTTTGGGAGAACATTGAATTGGTAAACAGAGGGGGGGATGATATACAGTATGTGATATACCTTCTGTAAGGTAGAGTCACTTTCCCTTAAATATACAAACTGGACTGTGAAGGTGTTAATTACAGAAAAGTTAATTGTCTGGCAGTAACATTAAATAAACAAAATCTGCTGACTTGCAAAAATCTGCAGATGAGTCTGAATAAACTGAGGTCTGCTACTGCAGATTTTAGGTATGATCTGAGTAGAAAGAGGATGTTATTAATTTTTCCTCCTGCTTCTCAGATCAAGTAGCTTTTCCTGTCTTCCTGATTGATGTCTTCCATGTTTCCACAGAGATCCACGGAGGGCCACGGTCCCGGCAATTGCAGCCTGCACGTTCTCTCCCAGGGCCTTCCCACTGCCTGAAGCATTTTCCTGTTGACCTACGCACCTCCATGGATGGCAAGTACAAAGAGCTTGCTGAGGTAGATCTGCTTATTCTTTGCTGATTGTGTACGTGTGCATTGTTCACTGTAGAACAAAGGCTGTGAAGTGTACATGTTAAAGTCATGCAATTTTTCCTTGTATTGTTTTTCTTGATATTTAAAAAAAGACCATTTGTAATTCTATTTTAAGAAAATTGTTTTGAATCCATGTGATTCTCTAGAATTTATGGGAGAGAAGGGTTGATTGGAGAAAATAGATTTAAAGTCTCTTAGTAAGGAATTGCTCTTGAAGCAAGTTATTTTTGGATCCCAGAAATGAAAGTAGAACAGTGTTTTTTTGCCCGTTCACCTCCTCTGAGCTCTCCAAAGTATGCATTGGAAGCCAGCCACTGGAGGTGACAGGATTGTAATATGGGTAGTCTTCATTTAACAACCACTCATTTAGCGACCATTTGAACTTTCAATGGTGCTGAACAATTGGTAATTATGACTGGTCCTTGCACTTACGGCTGCCGCTGGGCTCACAATCACAACATTTCAGCATCCCACAATCATATGATCACAATTTATGACCTTCCCTGCCAGCTTCCAACAAGCAAAGTCAATGGGGAAGCTGGCAGGAAGTTGCAAGTTGCGGTCATATGAGGTCCTTGCTCAACAACCCACGCAGTCCTCATTTAGCAACAGCAACTGGGACTGCCGGAACTGCAGTTGCTAAGCGGCATGGTCACATGGTTTTTCCACTTACGACTGCATCACTTAACAGCAGAGTTTCTGGTCTCAATTAGCATCATTAAGCGAGGCCTACCTGTACATCAGGTCATCACCTACTTTGGAAGACTATTCTGGACAGCTGTGTGTTCCTCTTCGGTAATGTAGAAGGAAATCTAGGGGACCTTGGGCCAGGATTCATACTTGGTGGGATCCTGCCTGTCATGGCCCAGGCTCAGAACTCAGATTCTGATTCTGAATCTGACCCTGAAGAAGCTGCTCCAGCTGAGCCTGTGGAATGTCAGCCTCAGGAATCACATGAGGCTGATCAAACACAGGCACCACCTGAGCAGCTGGAGAAGTCAGATGAGGATGACGTAAGGCTTCCCAGCCCCTGAACCCAGAGAGTAGAGAAGAGAGCAGAGCAGCGAAGGTCTATTAGGCATCTCACCAAGCAAGGGAGTAAATTTCCTGATTAGTGACAGCTGGCTGCAGCCTGATTTAAGAGGCAGCTCTGACCCATGTCCCCTTGTTGGAAACAACTATCTGATTTCCTGCTCTGGCATGTCATTCCTGTGAATCCTGCTCGTGAAACTCTGACCTTGGACTGGCTGACAAACCTGAATTTGCTCTCTGAACTTTGGACTGGATTTTGACTACTCTTCTGGGTGCTCCTGTTGAAATCAAAACCATCCAGGCAAGCTTACTTTCCGAGAGACTTCGTTGATTTACATTTCTTCCCTTGTCTGCTGTTATCTGCTCAGCCTTGAGTAAATTGTTTTCCGCATCTAGCAACTGTGTGTGTGTGTTTGAAACATGAAAAGAAAACACCACCAGCCTTGAAGAGCTTTCTAGCAGAAAGTGTCCAGTGGATCCAGGATTCCAACCTAGTCACTGGGGAGTCTGCAACAACAGATATGGCGCTTCAGATATGGTAGCTGTTGCTTTCCTCCCAGCATGCTAACATTCCATGAATTAATAACATTAATTAAAAGGATATAAGAAATAAAATCATGTGGAGCATGGAACATGATGGACCCTGAAGGAGTATCTCTGGGTGCCATAGTGGGGCCCCAAACTCTAGGGTTTCAAGCAAGAGGTTCCACCTCTTTATCAGGATGCTTCATTCCTGTTCAAGGG